GTTTGTTTGTTTTGTTTTTGTTTTTTCCGGTACCGGGAATCGAACTCATGACCTCGCGCTTGCCAGGCAGGCGCTGTGTTGCTGAGCTGAATCCCCAGCCCGCTCCTATTGTTTTAGGCAAAAACAATGCCTCATGGTGTGTTGTCTCTGCCTGTTCCGTCCCCGAGCTCCTCCGGTGGAGGTCGGTCAACTTTCCTTTCTCTCTCCCCGCCCTCCGCGTGTCCTTCCCGCAAGTTTTTCTCCATGATCCGCCAGGCTCCCGGTCCGACAGGCTGGCTACGGAGGCCCGCATGGCTCCTTCAGCACTTCGCCAGGCAAAAAATCCCCTCACCCAAGGATAGGTTCACAGTGGATAGGGCCGGGGATATAGCTCAGCGGCACAAGTGCCTACTTAGCAAGGGCAAGATCCAGAGTTCGATTCCAAGTATCCCCCCAAAAAAACAAAAAACGAAAGCGAGCCGAGTCCTTCACGCAACCGTTCAGATGCTTTGCCTGAGCCCACAGGGGCCAAGAGGAGGTCACAGGTGCACTTAATGTATGAGGATAAGACCTTCCCTGCAGGCAGGAACGACCAGCCCCAGTGCCCAGCTCGAGGACCGCCGCCCTCACGGGGGCCAAGGCCCACCCCACAGTGAGGGGCAGGATGTGAGCCCCAGGGCCAGGCCCCGTCCCTCCCTGCTGGGGATGCTCAGGAGTGGCTGTGGCTGGGCCCCTCCCTCATCACCCGGCAGTCTCTGTCTCCTCGGTACTGTGGCATAGTACATAATACCACAATAACCACACCCCGCCTGGCAAGCTGGTACCTGGACGGATGACAGCTTAATCCTTCTTACCTTCCTTCCTCTCCCTCCATGTCTAGATCCCCTTCCCATCTGCAGAAGAGCTATCTCCCTGTTTCTTATCATCTTTTATTTTTTCTTTAAATTATTTATACTTTGAATTTTTCATGACAGAAATCATGTGATATTGGGGCTTCTGTGTCCCATTTATTTCACCAAACATTACGCATCCATCTTCCTATAAATGACTCAAATTTATCCTTCTTTATGGCAGAGTAGTACTCCCTTGTGTGTAAATGCCACATTATCTTGATCCATTCATCTGTTGATAGACACATGGGTCACTTCCAAGATTTCGCTATTATGAGCTGTGCTGCTATACACAGGGGTGTGCATGGCTCACTGTAAAATGGTGACTTCAGCTCTTCCAGGAAGATACTAGAGGGGAGATAGCTGGGTGAATGGAATTTCTAATTTTAGTTTTTCGAGGAATCTCCACACTGATTTCCATGCTGGTTGTAGTAGCTTACATTCTCTCCAGCACTGTGGAATGTAGAAGTTTCCTTTTCCCCTACAACCTCATCAGCATTTATTATTATTATTATTATTATTTTTTCTCCCAGTACCAGGGATGGAACTCACAACCTTGCACTTGCCAGGCAGGTGCTTATGCCACTGAGCGAAATCCCCAGCCCAAGCATTTATTATTTTTTGAGATTTTAATGGTGCCGCTCTTTACAGAGGAAGAGGGCATCTCTGTTTCAATCTGTACTTCTGTAATGGCCAGAAGTGCTAAGCGTTTTTCACGTACCTGTGGTCATTTGTGCTTCTTCTTTTGAGCAGCGTCTCTTCACTTTGGTTGCCATTTCTTGGTTGGTTCTTTTATCTTTGGGGCGTCCAAAGAAATCCAGCCCTAGGTGGGATCAGAGGTTCAGGGCAGGGCGACTGCGACCTGGCTCAATGGTGGGTGGGCTTTGAGTGACCCCCGAGGAGAGGGACCCCCAGGTAGCTTTGCCTACAGCAGTAAGGCAAAAAGGAAAACTGAGTTCTCTTCTGGGAGCAGAGCTGAGTTAAAGGCGCAAAATAAAGGGAGGGAAAGGAGCAGGAGCCCGCCATCTGGGGCTGCAGGAGAGCAGGGAGGAAAGGGCGGTGGCCAGGAGGCGTCCCCACCAATTAAAAGGCCTGGGAGTGCGGCCCGGTGCGGCAGCGCACACCTGTAATCCCAGATCCTCTTGGGAGGCTGAGGCAGGAAGATCTCATGTTCCAGCTCATCTTGGACAACTTCTTGAGACCCTGTCTCAAAGTAAGAAAAGGAATAAAGAGTCGGGGACGTGGTTCATTGGCTGAGCACCTGCTGCCCTACATGAGGCCTGGGTTCTAGCCCCAGCACCCCCAAAAAAGCCTGAAGCAGAAGGGGTCGAATCCAAGGACAAGGCTTCACAGGGTACACGACTGCATTCGATTCCTGACTGTTCCCTGGCAGAAACAAACTGTGCTGCAACCAAAGCAGAGCGCTGAGGCCGGAGAATGTTAAGGCAGTGAAGCTACTCTGTGTAGCCCAGGAATATGGGCTGTGCATCAGAGCTTGTCTAAACCCACAGAAGGGACACCCCAGAGGGCACCCTGGTGTCACCCACGGGCCCTGGGCCAGCACAGGGTCTGTCCAGGCTCATCCGTCCTAACAGTGGACCTCTCTGGTGCGGTCATTGATAAATACGTAGGCTGTCCATGGAGGGGAACAGGAGGTACATGGGGAAGCTCTTCACTCTCTGCCATAAACCTAAAGCTGCCCTCAAAAAAGGCTTTTCAGATAAAAAGTCAAAGGATTTGTGTGTGTGTGTGTGTGTGTCTTTTTGAGACAGGGTCTCGCTATGCAGTTCAGGCTGGCCTTGAGCTCACTTTGTAGCCCAGGCTGGTCTCAAACTTGCCATGATCCTCCTGCCTCAGCCTCCCGAGTGCTGGGATCACAGGTGTGTGCCACCACACCTGGCTAACACTTCTGTTCGGGAACTGAACTGTTCTCGAACAGAAGCATTTGTGAACCAAGGCATTACTTTTGGAGGAACATTATTTAAATTTTCAAATACCTATTTACTTAAAAAAATTAATACTTGCTACAATATCAGAGTTATTTTTTTTCTTTTTACGTCAGGCGGATAATGCGCCAATGTCGTAACAAGGTTTGAGTAAGGCACATCTCATGCAGATGTCATGAACACCCAATCATCACGCTCATGAACCAAAGGATCTGTGATACCAGATTTATAAGGTACAAAAGCTGTTGAGTCTCACTCTAAATAGAAAACAGTAAGTGCTGTTAGGAAAGCAGTGTTAAGATGAGCCGGGGGTGGTGGCACAACCTGTAATCCCAGCACTCGGGAGGCTGAGGCAGGAGGATCGCTGTGAGTTCGAGACCGCCCTGAACTACAAAGTGAACTCAAGGCCAGCCTGAACAGTATAGTGAGACCCTGTCTCAAAAAGAAAAAACAAACAAACAAAAAAACCAAAACCAAAAAACAAACCAAACTCACTCTGCCCTGATAGTGTAGAAGCGGCCATATATAAACAAGTGAACGTGCCTGTTTCTCAATAAAACTTTATTTGTAAGCACAGGTTAAAGGCCTCATTTGTGCCAACCTTGGAAGAAAAGCATAAATATTTAAAGATACAGAGGGCTGGGGATTTAGCTCAGTGGTGCAAGCACTTGCCTGGCAAGCACAAGGCCCTGGATTCAATTCCTGTTACAAAAAAAAAACAACCCACAAAACTCCTCAGGGCTTGGAATATAGCTCAGTGGCATAAGTGCCTGCCTGGCAAGACTGAGGTCATGAGTTCGATGCCCAGTCCAAAAAAAAAAAAAAAAAAAAAATCAAATGTTTGCTGGGCGTGGTGGCGCATGCCTGTAATCCCAGCACTCGGAAGGCTGATCAGGACTCTTGTGAGTTTGAGGCCAGCCTGGGCTACAAACTGAGCTCAAGGCCAGCCTGAACTGCATAGTGAGACCCTGTCTCAAAAAGACAAAAAAAGAAAAAAAGATACAGATATGAGTAGATGCAGATAAAAGGCACACTTGAAGTAGGGAGAGAATGTTAATTGCCTACTTTCCACCTCCCTTAAGGAAAGGATCCCCATAAGGTTGGGGACAACAGTGTCCCTGTTTGCATGCTAATATGCATGATTCTTATTTATTCATTTAGTGGTTCTGGAAATCAAACTGAGGGTCTTGTGCAAGCAAGACAGGCAGTCTCCCACTGAGGTTCACCGAGGGCCCTTTTCCTGAAGTGGCAGCAGAAAGAAAAGGCATGGGGAATGCTTTGTAAAGGGGCTTTATCTGTCAAGCAGACACCATTTTGTCTTCCTCCTTTTTCTTGCCTGGAACATGCACATGATTGCTGGAACACAAGCAGCAATTTTGTAACTAAGAGGACAAGTTAAAAAAAATGTCAGAAACCTCCAACTTTACATTCTTGGGTCAGTGAACCAAAACCAGCTGTAGGTGACCTCTGGACTCCTCATTATATGCAGTAAATATGCTTAAGCCACTGTTTAATTTGGGTCTCTATCAGCTGCCGAACCAAAATTCCAACACCTGTTGATAAGAACAACAGACACTGCTCAGCTTATAAATACTAGAAGTAATAGTAAGTTAAGGTCCTCTTAACTATGAAAAGGCAGCATCTAAAATTGAAGACTCCAAATCTATGAGATCTGGTGTTAAGTTTAACTCTGCCACTGACCTTGGATAATTATTCTCTCAATGCCTCAATTTCTTTCCCCGTACATGGGCAGAATCAAATTACACAGCTTATAGTATTATTGTTAAAAGATTTAAATATCAGTCAGATGTGGTGGTGAATGTTTGTAATCCTAGCACTCAGGAGGCTGAGGCAGGAGGATCGCTGAGTTCCCAGCCAGCCTGGGTTACAAGGTGAGCTCAAGACCAGCCTGAAATACATAGTGCAACTCTGACTCAAAAAGCCACACACACACACACACACACACACACACACACACGACAATATGATCATGCATATATAAAGTGTCTGACATATTGCTTTTATTGCTCTGTTGATCGGGTGAACGACTGCTCACTTCTCAGAAACAAGGATGTAGGTGCGGGCAGGGGATGTAGCTCAGTGGCAGAGCACTTGCCGGGTGTGCCCAGGCCCTGGGTTCCATCCTCAGTATCTCACGACTAAAACACCTTTCCTCACTCTTTAGGGCTCACCCTTGTCTCAGGGACAGTGCCTGGAAATCTGCCCAGTCTCCGGACTTCTCATAGCTGTGCTACGTGGGGGCTGAGGCCAAGGTCTGGGACCTCTGAGGTGAAGACGGTCCCTGTTTCAGGACAGTGGTGGGCTGCCTGCAGAGCCGTCGTATACCAAAGAAGCTGAGCGGGTGACAGACATGAAGGTGGTACAGGGGGAGAAACGCAAGAGTTCGGTTCCGTGATTAGGCGGAAGAGTGGCCTAAACTACCTTACAGAGGAGCTGGCATCTCACACGGGAGAAGTGCAGAGGGTGGAGGTGGGTGTTATGCTGCTATTAACAGCCTTCGATAATAAGCGGAAGAATGTAAACATCAAGGACGGGCTCCTTCTCCGACCCCTGCCCCCAGCTCTGGCCCCCTCCCTCGCTCACAGGTCCCCAGCTTGGTTTGGTCACGGGTGCCCCTGCGAGAGACTAGAGGAGGCTAGAGGCGGCTGGGGCGTTTATTTCCCGAGTGCGGTGCTGGTCTGAGCGGACTGCCTCCCTCTCAAAACCGCACGCAGTCCCGAGGGGCTCCCGCCTGCAGGTCCTGGCCAGCCAAGCCCAGGCTGCTCTCAGCCTCAGGGCACCTACTGCCTCTGGTTCCAGTGCAGTTTTGCAATCCTCCCTTTGTTCCTCGGACACCAAACCTTTGCAGGGAGTGTGCATTTCCTTAGAGAGGTCAAACTCTTAAGTGCCACGGAGGCGCAGGGTGAAGTGGGAGGGGTCTAAGGCACCAGGCGAGGGTGGCAGTCTGAGGAGGGAGCCCTGGAGTGCGCAGCTGGGACCTGCCTGTGTCCTTTGAGAGTAGGAGCCTAGTATTAATTTTACTAAGTAAAAACTAAAAAAGAATTTTAAAAAACTCAAACAACCAAAATTGCAATTTTTGCTGGGGGCTGGAGGCGTGCTCAGCACGATTTAGGGGCTGGGTTCAACCCCAGTACTGCCGACCCCCCCAAAAAAGCCAAAAGCAAAAACAACAACAAAGAAAAACCAAAGAAAATTTAGTTTAAAAACTTTTCTGATTTTCTGACCCAGGTTTTCAGTGGAAACTAAAAACATACATTTAGTAGAAGAACTTTCCCCACCTGTTGTTTTTTTTTTTTTTTTTTTTTTTGTCTATTTGAGGCAGGGTCTGGGTATGTAGTTCAGGCTGGCCTTGAGCTCACTTTGTAGCCCAGGCTGGTCTTGAACTCACAGAGATCTTCCTGCCTCAGCCTCCCAAGTGCTGGGATTACAAACGTGCAACACCACACCCAGAAAACTTTCCCTACTTACAAACACATTCTGTAGGCCAAAGAAAACATTCGTCAACTTGACCCGCAGCGGCCATGCTGGTCTCACACTCACCCTGCTCCTTAGAGAATCGAGTTACCCTGGGATCGTGCTGAGGACTCCGGTCTGGACACACACAGCCAGCTTTACTTCATCTGATCCTTTCAACAGTGTCACCTCAAGAAAAGTCTCCCATACCCGCTGCACAAATGAGGAAAGTCTTTCAAGAACTGAGAGGTAAAACGACTCAGGGACGGCCCGGGCAGGAAGAACGTGCGGAGGGATTCCGAAGTCTGCGCTCTTCCCCTGAGCCCGGCTCACCCGTTGGCCAGGTGGATCCTGGGGGTCGGCACCAGGCCTGGGTTCTCCTCATCTCTTCAAGTCCACGTCTGACTGAGCTCACGCATTCACAGGGGTCTTCCACGCTTCGCCTGGGACCCATGGAGTCCCCTAGGTAACAGGTAGGTGGTTTGGGAACAGGTCCACGAAACCCTTGAAATTACAGGCCCATTTTTTTTATGTGTGCACATATATATTTTTCTGTAGCGTTCACAAAGATTTCAAATGGAAAGCCACAAAAAAATCAAGACCATCTGTCAAGGTGTTGGAAAGTACATCGAAGAACTAGAGTAGGCCCACGAGGAGCGCTACAGTAAAAGATGGAAATAACAGGCAGTTGGTGGAAATGCAGAGCGACTGGAATCCTGGGAGGAAAGGGAACTGGCACCGCCATGCTGGAAAACAGTTCAGCAGCGCTGCAAAAGCAAAACAGTCACCAGCCGGGCGTGGTGGCGCACCCCTGTAATCCCAGCACTCGGGAGGCTGAGGCAGGAGGATCATTGCAAGTTCGAGACCAGCCTGGGCTACAAAGTGAGCTCAAGGCCAGCCTGAACTGCATAGCGAGACCCTGTCTCAAAAAGACAAAAGTAAATAAATAATAAATAACTAAATAAATAGAGAGTCACCGAAGGCGCAGCACCTCCACTCCCAAATGTCCCCGCGGGACAACTGCAGGCTCGTGCCGCAGACACGGGTACCTGAATGTCACAGCACCACTGAGAGGCAGCAAAAAGCAGAAATGCCTAAATGTCCATCCACCAATGGGTGGATTTTAAAAGGTGGGCTATCCGTGTAGTGGAGTAGTATTTGGAAATTTTAAGAAAGGGAGGAGTACTCCTGTGTGCCACAACATGGAGTCGTCTTTTTTTTTTTTTTTTTTTTTTGGTTTTTCTCCGGTACCGGGAACCAAACTCATGACCTTGTGCTTGCCAGGCAGGCACTTTTGCCACTGAGCTAAATCCCCAGCCCCTATGGAGGAGTCTTGACAACATTTCGCTAACTGAATGAAGGCAGTCAGCAAGTCGCACCTGCCGGATAATCTCGTTTATGCGCGATGTTCCGGAGTGGTGACTCCCCTGACACAAAGCAGTTGGAGACTGCGCAGGGCTAGGGCCATGGAGCGTGAGAGATGCCTGCCGAGGGGCATAGGGCTTGGCGCTGTCCTCAAGTTAGGCAGGCGTGAGGGTGACACAACTTGGTGAACACGCTAAACACCACTGAATGGTGTCTTTTAAGACGACGAATTTTAGGATATGTGAAGTATGTCTCAATTTTATACAAGCAGAAAGGAAAGAAGTGAGAAGTCGGACCAAGTGCCCAGCAAAGGTGTAAGGACCTTGAGAGAGCCCAGGCAGAAGGCAGGAGACTGTGTGGGGGACCCCTCCCCAGTCGCAACAACCAGGATTTGAACTCAGGACCTCTCACTTGCCAGGCAGGCGCTGTGCCACTGAGCTATAGCCCAGCCCATG